CTTAGTTTCTCCCCTTTCAGGAAGTCCCTCCCCACAGACTGGGACTGTGCCCAGAGTCCCAGGGCTCAAGAATTGCATCTCTTGTCCTTGCTCCTTCTTTGTGAGTGACAAGCACCAATGCTGCCTCTCCTTTCTGTGTGAACACATATCTCAGCAAAGTGCAGCATTTGCCACTCATTTCCCCTGCGAACACACACAGCTTGTGAGCCTAAGTTTGAGGAAACACTTTATGGAGAAGGCCATGAGACCTGACTCTGATTTGGACCAGGAAGACCCCCTGGTACATCAGCCTCCAGGCATGAGCTTAGGAGTGGAGCCTAGAACTGTCATTAGGACAGATTCCCCCCTCCAGCTGTGCTTCTAAAAGAAGAGACTCCCTCCCCTAATTCATCCTGGACAGGTGAGCCTTCGCGAGCAAATTCTAAGGGCTCAGTATCACTTGAGAACCCCGGGAAGGAGGGTAAAGTATGAAATAAAAAGGATCATTCGGTATCATCATTGGTTCCAACTCCTAAACATAAAGACCAGCATCCACTGGGTCCATCTAAGAGTGATAGACCCGTCTCTTCGGCCATATCAGCCCCCGCTTCAAGCAGACAATTTCAGGTGAGGGGATAGCTCAGTGGTTTGAGCATTGGCCTGTTAAACCCAGGGTTGTGAGTTCAGTCCTTGAGGGGGCCACTTAGGGATCTGGGGCAAAAATCAGTACTTGGTCCTGCTAGTGAAGGTAGGGGGCTGGATTTGATGACCTTTCAAAGTCCCTTCCAGTTCTAGGAGATAGGTAAATCTCTGTATATTATTATTATATTTTTTAGCAGGCACTCCTCTGCAGACCATGAGTGGGAAATACACAACTCTGTCCTGTGCGAGGTATTCACTCTGTGGGGAATACCTCAATGGGATCTCCTTGCATCCTAAATGAACAGGAAACTTCTCCTGTGCTGCTCCAGAGCAGCTGTGGGCCGCAACTCCTAGGGTGACGCTCTCCTCTCATCATGGACAGACCGACTCAGATATGCCTTTCCTCCCATCCCTCTGCTATCACAGGATGTGAGAAATTTCCATTTCAACAAGGCCAGAGTCAATCTCATAGCACTGGATTGGTCCAGACAGTTCTGGACTGGTTTGAGAATGTCAGCCCATCCTCCTCTCAGGATCCACCCCTTCCTGGATCTTCTTGTTCAGGAGAATGGCAAAATCAGACACCCTAATCCAGACCCACATGATCTTACAGCCTGGTTTTGAACAGGCATCAGAACTAAAACAACTGTGAAGGAACGATTCCACTCGGAACTGCTACCTAGCTGAATGGAGACGCTTCTCCACCTGGGCAAGGCACAATCTGTCTTCCTCAGAACCTGCAGATATCCCAGCTGTTTTAAATTATCTTCTGCCATTGAAGAATTCAGGTCTTTCCATTAGGTCACTGTGGGTCCATCTCACAGTAGTCAGGGTCAGTACACAGGCATTCCATTTTCACTCACCCAACAATGGTTAGATTCCTGAAAGGCCTAGTCAGGCCCTTCCTGCCAGTGGTCAATCCGACCTCTGTCTCGTCCTGTTAATAGGTACCAGACTACCATTTGAACTTTTGGCCACATCCTCTCTGTCCCACCGTTCCATGAAGGTCGCATTTTCAGTTGCTATTACTTTGGCCAGAATGGTGAGCAAGATGCTGACCCACCATACACCATTTTTCACAAGGAGAAAGACTCTCTTTGACATCATCCTTAGTTACTCCCTAAAGTAATTTCTGAATTGCATGTCAACCAACCTATCCATTTACTGGTTTTCTTCCCCAAACCCCATGCATCTGTTGATGAGAAAGGAATTTATTCTCTGGATGTCAGACAAGCCCTGGCATTCTACCTGTAAAGGGCCAAACCAATCAGAAAATCACCCAGATTATTTGTCACTATAGCAGAAAGGTCACGAGGACAAGTGATATCTTCTTAGAGAATCTCTGAATGGATTTCTGCTTGCATCACTGTGTGCTATCAATTAGCACATATCCCTCCCCCAAAAGGAGAGCACAAGCTACCTCAACAGCATCTCTCCAGGAGGTACCGATACTGGACATGTGCAGAGCAGCTACCTGGAGCTCCATTCACACATTCACAAAATATTATGTGCTAGTTCAGGCCTCCTCTGCAGATGTGGCTGTAGGGACTGCAGTTCTTCAAGCATCTTTACTGACTGCAATCTACCCACCCAGCCCCAGTCTGTATACTGCTTGTCAGACATCCACATGTGGAATACACACAGGGACCAGCCCTCAAAGAAGAAATGGAGGTTACTTACCTGTAACTGGAAGTTCTTGAGATGCATGGTTCCTATTTATATTCCACTAACTGCCCCTCCTTCCCCTCTGCTTCGGATCTTATCTGATTCATGGTAAGAAGAGGAAATGGAGAGGTGTCGGCTTGCACTATCTCTTATGCCCTCTGTCTGGAGCACAAAGAGAGCAACTGTGCACATGTGGGCCAATGGACACTGCTTACTAAGAATCTCCAGACTCGGACATGTGGCACACGTTTACCCACATGTGGGATACAGATAGGGAACTCACAACTTCCAGTTACAGATAAGTAATCTCCACCTCATCTTTAATTGTGAACAACACATTTAAATTCAGATCCTGCAATCTAAGGTACCAGCAATTCAACATAGTACCTTAGGGGAGCACACTGCTGCTTCAGGTTAGCCTTTTGTCCTCTCGCAGGCAGTGTTCTGCATGGTGCAACAATGCAGTGTTGTGCCATTGCAACAGTGGGACTGCTGGAAATCCAGCTACAAAGAATACAACTGGAAGTTAAGCCAGAGTATTTTAGTATGGGGGTGGGGGGGGGGGAGAGTTAAGGATGATGCAAACATGATGCACTTTTTTTTTGCAAAAGATTCAGAGCTCTGCCTCACATTGGAGGCCAGGGGAAAGCGATGGACACAGAGTAAATCTGTGCATAGCCACAAGCGAGTAGTGCCAAGGAGTCGCTGTCCAGTCAAAGGAGTGGAGCCAAAGAGAAGCAGCAGCGGTAGCATTGCAGCTGCTGGGAGAGGTGAATGTGGCGCCAGCAGTGCTATTAGTTTATTGAGTAGACTGAATTTAGATGTGGGATTGTGGTCTGGTCCTAGCACAGCTGGGTGCTGGGAGTTGCCCAAGGCAGTGGGCAGGCTGTTGCTGGACCTAATTTCAAATGGGTTTGTCATTGCTGAGCTCTTAGTTTCTATGACTCGTTTATGTTATGGCTGAAAAGTAAAACTGCTTTGTGCCGTGTCAGCACTTGACCAGCTGAGTCTGAACACGGGATGTGTGGTGTGTGACGAGAAAGTTCCAACAAACGTGAGCAGAGTGCAGAAGAGGGAGGGAGCTAGAAAGGTGGGTGGGGTTCATTTCTTGGGCATAAACAAGGGTATTTTCCCCAGAACCTCTGTTTCACAGTTCCAAAATTATGATTTACAGTAAGATTAAAAAGTAGGCATACCTCTGAGGACAAACCATTGGATTTAGTGGTAGAACCCCCGTTCACTCCACTGGGGCCAGATCTTTCTGAGACAAGGGCTAATATGGGTCCATCTGGATGTGTGGTTTGCCATGAATACTCTGTGAAAAGGCCTCCCCATGTTCATTGTCTCTCAAGGATCCAAATCCACTATATTCAGCTTATAAGTAAAAAAGATGGATTTTTCCTCCTAACTCTAAACCCCAGTCTGGGCTCTGAGAATTAAGCAGGATTCTTTCCATTTTGTGCATTATTAGCAATAATAAAGGCTTTACAGGCCAAACTGGCCCTTGGTGACCCCCTGTGCAGTGCCATGGGTTGCACAGGTCTCACTGATTCAAACTTAATAGACCATTCTGTGGATGATGCACAAGAAGTAATAGAATCCAGCATAGTCTCCTGCAGCTGTGTTGACTCTGCAGCGCTGATGGGAGTAAAAAGCAGTAAAACTTATTTTAGTCACTAACGCAAGCAGATCTGATTGAATACACACAGGAAGTAGATCTGTTGAGTAAGAAGGTGTCATTTTTATGCTGCTACCTTTCAGAGCAGAACCGTACTTTATGGAAGGGAAGTTTGAGAGGTAAAGGGACAAATGCTAGTTTGACACTAGTGTAAATTGAGCGATCTCATTGGAGTTACTCCAGATTTGCACTGTTGTAAATGAAAGAAGAATTTGACCTATAGTCTGTAATAGCTATTGATACCCCTAGTGCCAGTTACTGGTTGGTTTTATTTTATTTTTTTTAGGTTTGTCTCTGTCCCAAATGTTGTGGTATCATCTAGATAAATGGTCTGTTGCATGTATGACCATATAACTGCCCTGAAAATTATTTTGGGTCAGGAAACCATCATTGGGTTGCAACATTGCATCAGAACATGTTGATGCTTTTGCATGCTGTGATAACATTACATCACAATGTCCATTTTGTCCAGCAGGAGAGACTGAAATAGAAAGATGACAGCCCCATTAATTGTGGCAGCACTGGGAGAACCTGGAAGTCATCTTAGGCCAAGTCTGCACTATGGAATTTTGCCAGCACAGCTACGTTAATCAGTGGAGTGAAGAGGTATGATCCCCGACCGATATAGCTGTGCTGGCAAAAGCCCCCTCTGTAGACCTAGTTATATGGGAAGAACTGCTCTTGAGCCAGTATAGATCATTTCTCTTAGTGGGGGCCGGAATAAGCAATACTGGCAAAAGCTCAGTTTTACTGGGATAAGCTACATCTGCATTAGAAGTGCTTTGCCAGTATAGTATACCAATATAGCTATACTCTCAAAGTGTTCCTAGTGTAGACATGGGTTAACTCCTAGTGCTGCCGGATCTTCTACAGTTTATTCATTATTCACAGGCTTTTTTTCCCTGGGAGTAAGGACTAATGGAAAAACATTTGCATATAAATAGCCAAACTGCCATGTAAGATGCTAACAGCAAAGAGCTTAACGGGGGATGTCTCTAACCATCTTTCTCTCTCTATCTCTCTGTTTCTCCTGCAGGGCTTGTGAAGTTGGGGGTTCACTGTGTAACATGTCAAAAGGTCGCGATAAAAATTGTCAACAGAGAGAAGCTCAGCGAGTCGGTGCTAATGAAGGTAATTTTCTAATGGGAGATTTGAGGGGGGGAAAGTATAGTTCTTGGCTCTGTGGCTTCTGTTCCATGCAAAATTAATATCTTTAATTATGTTTAACAAACATCCCTGTCAGTTCTAGGACTGTGCTGTGCATAATAATAATAATAATTCAGGGGTGGGGGCGGCTGGAATTAAAGAGAAGGAGTATGCATGTGCTTTAATTAAGAGCAAAATTAACGGCCAGCCTCAGTGCTGTTACTGCTGTGTGATGGCAGACGCATGTGTTGGGGTTCTAAGTTCCACCAGATGGTGTGTGATGCCTGTTACTCTCAGAGATTGGTGAGGACATCTATTCTGTTATGTGAGTGTTCTTACTGCTGTTCTGTGGTATGGTTTCATTCTGCTCTCTGATCTAATGCACCAGATCCTCGCCTGGTGTAAATTGGTATAGTTCCACTCAGGGCCGGCTCTGGCTTTTTGCCGCCCCAAGCAAAAAAAAAAAAAAAAAAAACCCGCGG